AAATGTTCTCAGGAAAGGAATAGGAAACTTAAGAAGTATTTATAGTCACAACTAAGCCCTTATATTGTATCTGCCCCGACATACTTGTAGCGAACCGTAGGGTCGCTAGTCTGAATATAATATCGCAGAATCTTTCAATAACTTTCTTCAAAATAGCCTTCCATACGTTTTTTCTGTGCTCGTTTGCACTGAGGAAACGGTCATTCTGACCGTGAAGAAGTATATTCTCATGAGCACTGAGTTGACCATAAAATCCAAAGCCTTGCGAGTTCAGAGATGTTGCCTTCTTTTTATTGGCGCGATTTTAAAAATGCATCCTAATTTACATTATAACTGTATTAAACTTATTTTGCTTCACTATTTTCCACTGCAAAAGGTTGCACTGGAATGTGAAAAAATACCGGTCCTACACAAAGCCATGAGGACGACTGCGAATAATGTCTTACACATATCATTGGCTCCCAGATTTGTAAAGAGACAAAGCATTGGAAACTTTGATAAGGTGGATACGTTCGTTGAAATTCCGCGTTCATATCGCTTCCAAGTTTTTTCTCGTCGAAATCAGCAACGGTTTTTGCTGCCTGTCTCCTTCTCCTCCGCATCCATCTATACGATTCTGGGAGTTGGCGTAACTCCAGTGAGTATAACCCACGATATGGTACGGTCATTCAGCGCTAACAGCAGAATGGAAAAATTCTTTAACTTCACTAGGATCCTTCATGGTATGGTATTGAACTAACACATCATTGTTTCAAATGGGAAAGTGGTCACGGGTACTTTTCATGTTGGACTATGATCTGGAGGTTTCATGCTTGCGTCTCATAAATTGAAGTGCTATTTCCATTACTCTGACTGATAACAAAACAATGAATCTAACCTGTTGGATACTTCGTAGTTTGATTTAAGATGATACAATTATGGAACAAGCATGGTAGTCTTGCCTATTGCTTTTCATGTTGTACGACGATTGAATTGAGAGGTCGAGAGAAAATGATCATGGTTACCAATTTATAAGCTTGAGTAAAATAACATATTTTATGATGGTTTCGACCAGATTAATACCACTTCTTGATCGACTAGTACCGACAGGACGGCGTCGGTTTCGACGCTGTCAAAGGCATTCACGTAGTCGACGAAGGTTAGGACGGGTCAGTATTCCCGGCAAACTTCTACAAAACTCGAAAAAACGTGTGGATGTGATACTTGCGAAATCCAAATTGTTCCTGGAGTTGGGCCTCATCTAGTTTTCTTGTGAGGCGAAAAAGGATAATCTTAGTGAAAAGCTTGTCCAGCGCACTCAGCAGGCATTTTTGACGGTACTTCCTAAGATCTTCCCGTTCGCCTTTCAGGGACGGTCCTTGAGGTTTACTGGTTGGGGATCCTTTCCTTCTAGAGGTAAGTGTCAGATGCGATGCGAGAATTTCCTCCAGACAATGCCCACTGCCTTGCAGAATTCGAGAGAGAGGTGGCCTGGTTCTGAGGCCGTGGACCTCTTCCTAGTCTGGATCGCATTGCGCACTTCAGCAGGTAGAATCCGTGTTGGTACTTCTCCAGTGGTAACAAAGGGAGGTGGCATTGGCCTTGCGGAAGAGATTGGTGTAAAAGTTCTTCGCGATAGATTCCATCGCGAGAAGAAGTCGGGTCCCGTCTTCGTTCAGCAGCGCTGCCAGCGGTACGTGATTACAGAGGCCAATTCCTCACCTTCGTCTTCTAAAGGCTGCTTCCAGTATCTTAGCTTGCCTGTCTTTTCGAAGATCCTCTTGCAAAACTGTCCTGCAACTGGCGTCCGCTATCAGTTGCTCGCGGCTGCATTCGGATGCTGCCTCAAAACTCTACGTCTTTCGAGCAATTTCTGTCCATATCCAAACTTTCCGATCCTCTATTCCCCGTTCGGTGGCCTCCCGATTTCAATTAAAATCGCCCACAACAACGATAGATGGACTACTGGTTGCGGATGACCTCCTCCACGTCTCCGCAGAAAGCATCCAGTTCCGTTCGTCAACTGCTAATATTGTAGAGTAGCAGTTGATGGATAGCCAGTCGAGGTAACAGGGTCTCATATCAACCGACAAGATGAGCAGTAGATGGGTGGACGACAAAGCCAACACCTCAAACGTTTCGTGATGAAACTTTCTTATCACGAATAGGGGTCCCATAAGTCAACTGTCGCACGTTCTCCTTTTCGTCTCCGTTTCCTGCAGAGTGATGACGTGGTACTTGATGTGCTCCTCAGCATCGAGAAGAGCATGGAGGTCGGCGTTAGTGAAGACTGTCTTAGCGTTGTAAATGCAAATCGGGAGGCAGTGTCCATGGCGTGTCGTTTTGTCCCATCCATAGGGCGCCCTAAGTACCCTGACATCGTTGTTGCCAATAGACGTCGTAAGGGATCCGATGTACAGGGATTTCTTCTTTTTTTCTTGCTGTACGAGTGAAAGATTCTTTCCCGACAAAAGCAGACTTATCAGGCCCTGCTCTTGCCTTCCACAGCGCGATCGCCGACCCTGGTATTTGGAGCGGGGACCGCGATGCTTATCTATAGCCACACGAGAATCCGACCGGGCCTGTTCCTAGCTAGGCATCCAACCGAAGCCGGGGATGTCGAATTCCTTCACATCTTGGGAAATCCTACCAATATTTTTCTTACATTTTAAATTCTACTCTTGGCTGGCTCCTTTTTTTTTTCAGAGTGTTGACTTGCTCAGTTTAACGCTGGCTATTTCTTCACTGTATTTTCCAATGCCCCATGGACTTCACTTGGGAAGTTGATCGCCTTTTTAACTCACTTATGTTGTCTCGTCTGTTTTGATTTCAGAGGCCTTCCATGGTTGCCTGTACAATTCAGTCGATACAACTCTGCTGAACTTCGGTCCACGTTCCCTTTGCCTAAATTGACTATCCTTGTTGTTTTGTTTTCATTTTCTCGTTGTATGGGTTACAGCATAGCATACATTAGTATGACCATCTCGTTCCATCAATCATTTTTTTTCATTGCTGTTTTGCTGACATGCTCTTGACCTGAGAGGCTCTTTTCCGATATACGCAGCTTAGTGTTTGTCTTCTAAATCTGACATCGTCTTTGTCGTGTAATTTTATATGTCTGTCTCTTATCCTTGATCATCTTGTATCCAAGTCCGATGTTAGCGTTGTTGGGGTAAGCCGAACGAGGTCTCCTGCCCGCCGGGTACGCATGATTTCGCTCATTCGCCTAGGTGCTTATCCCTCTTTCTTCGCTCGAAAGTGACCGTATATTTATATACCGTCACGCATCGTACTTGGACTTGTACTTATACCAAGTTTAGTCCCCACGACACTGACTTTCTGACTTTGAAGACAACACTGACGAGCACCTAGTTTAGAGAATTACTCTCCTTCTCTAGGGTGTTGAGCATGTTACAATTTCGTTTCATTACTGTTTTTGTCTGTCGTTGCGTTCGTGTCTTAGTACTGGCGCACTGTGCACAACAGTGTATCAATAAATAAATAAATAAATAAATATCCTCGGCTGTGCATTGCAGTTCGACGCCCAGTGTCGCCCCTACCTAAGTTGGACGGCAGCCATAGTGGGAGGTTGGATTATGGATCCTTCGAGGATGGAAAGGGGAGTACTCGATTTGTATAGATTGTAAGTAGTAAGCTGGTCATCCTTCATGCTAGGTTATTTGCTCCTAACAAGAAAGTTTCATGTTATGAAATCAAAGTACGGTCGTCAAGCTCCGCCTGAGCGCGTTTTTTTTTCATATTCCTTGCATCCGGCTTGTGCTGCATTTGCAGCAAACAATTGTTGGACTTGTTTGCCAGTGTCTTTGTGCTTATGTGGTGATGGACAACAACAGCACTGTTTTTCAGGGTTTTTGAAATATCACAGCTAAGTTGTACCACAGTACAGGAGCTTATAATCTTATATATAAAGCTGAATGTCTATTTGTATGTCTGTCTGTATGTATGTCTGTCTTTTTTGCAAAATTTGAGCTACGGGGCTGGGAGTTGGCACAGGGAGTAATCGAGCATGCTGATTACGAATATAATAATGACAGGGCCGGGCGGAGCCGGGTAAGACTAGTCATGTATAATACAATGTCCCATGGCTTCCCATTAAAGGCAGCGTCCAGGCAGATCTCGATCAATGGGGCTTTTACGTGGAAACTACTTTTGGGGCCCTAACTAAGGCACTGCCCAAGCGGCAGCTCAGGTAGTGCTCCAATGGCTGAGATATTCCCCTGGAAACTGGCCCCCGCGAACGTAATCGCATGGATTCATGGCAGTTTCGCGCCAGTCCACGCCTTGCGCCATGAATCCATGCGAAACACGGTCGCGGGGTCCAGTTTCGAGGGGAAGATCTCAGCCATTACAGCTACATGAGTTGCCGCTTGGGCAGTGCCTTAGTTAGGGCCCTAAAAGTACTTTCCACGTAAAAGTCCCTAGGTCCAGATCTGCCTGGACGCTGCCTTTAACACGCCCCTCACGAGATCTGCCAACTCTGGAAACCAGAGTTGAGAGTGCCATCCAGACAATGTAGATCGTTTTCTCTTTGAATTAGCCACTTTAGCCGTCAACGTTTACCTTGCTGAGACGGAAGCCCCTCGCCCTCTTCGCCCTCGTCGGGCTCGAGTACGCATCGCTTCTGACGAGCCTTAATTTTTACACGAATTTTCTTCTCAAAGATATCTAAACCGTTCCACGACGAAGTGTTTGTATTCGGCTTGTCGCATGCCCTTCTTTAGAAGGTGAGCTCGGCTGGCGCGTACAGCTTTCAGATGATACATGTTTATTCAAAAACAAAACTCTTTTCATCTAGAAGATTCAACTCACTAAACAATATTGTACAATACGGAAGCCTACATCATAACGACCAATTTATCCACGGAACGAAACAGATTTTAAGCTCCAACAGTCCTCTCAATGTTGCACTTTACACCGAATCGTAGAGACAATGATGAAAAAAGCAAGTTTCAACCTGCTTCGATGCCTATACTACTTAAGGCCAAGATTCAGAGGATAACAGAGTCTGATCATGCACATAAGCCACATTTGACGCCTAACTGTTGTTCGTATAGAATATGATCTCTGGGATTTGTCCGTCTTCAACACTTGTTCCATTGTTGTTACCAGCAGCATACGTGAACTGGAAAGTAACAACGCCACCGGAGGCTGACTGATGAACGATCCTTCGTAGTCCTTTTGTACCATAATGAGAGTCCATACCCTGCAGAGATCTCGATACACCGATTTCGAAAATCCAAAGCACAAATTATATCATACTAGGAATTCGCGAATACATACCTTCAGACATGCGCTGGCGATATAGGTAACTCCCGGGGTGATCTCTACAGGTTCACGGAAGGAAACCCGACAAGTTGAGGATGATCCATCGCAAACGAACGATGTATCATTCTGCGCCAGAACTTTTCCCGTACCACAATGGATAATCTAAATTCCAGCTGATAAATAAAAACAAAAAGTAGGTACCTGGCCGTACCTGTATAGTACACTGGTATTCGTGGGGGCCGTGTATAGCTCCGTATAAGCCAAATCCAACTACGTATATTTTCCTATCCACCGTAAACCTAGAAATCAATACTTAAGGAAGGCAAAACCTTACACGCTAAGTTATCAATGCATAGAACAAACTAACTTAATTCTGTCCGGAGTACCACTATAACCCCAGCGTCCGTCAATCCGTTGAAAACGACTGACAACCAGCTCTTTGCCGGCAACAGAACATCGCGGGCTAAAAAAGCTATCTTTAGCGAAAAAACAGTAGGAGACATCTTATCAGAACTGTTTACTGAAAGTCTAAGTTATTTGTGGTAGGAAAAACTTAGAAACAGTATATAGATAAGATTCTTTGACCAAAAATAGAAGTGTTTTGCAGAGAGCTGCAATCATATCTGTCACTTTGACGTACTTGTCATTGAAGCCGATTGAAGGCTTGGGATTCACCGTAAAGTAGAGGAACAGATTTACCACTTCTCGATCAGTGAGCAGTCCAGATTGGGCTAGAAAAGAAATGCCATAACAGAAACTTCTACCATGCTACGAACATACCAGCAGATTGCGCAAATTCTTCAACGGTCATGAGGGGAAACCGTATGAGTTGCACGGCTCTGCCTAAAACCGCTCTTCGGTTTTCGGTAGTTGGCTCGAGCCCACGACGAGCGCATTCTTCAGTTGACCATCTCACCACAGCCTTGAGTTGTAGATCATTTTGGGAGGCTTGGCGGGTACAACAGCTAATGCACTTACTTGGAACAGCTGTGCCTCTTTGATCCTGAGTGTGTCTCTAGCAAGCACCAAGCACAAGGTTTCTAGGTCTATATCGGTGAATCCTGAAAGCTTGGTAAAGTGAAAAGAATCATGCAAAATGAAATCTATACTACTGACCTTCGCCATTCAATGCTTCGAAAGTATTCTTGTCTATAATTTCGAGACACAATTTAGCTAACTGAGGCTCATCGAAGAGTCGCGCCTAAATTAGAACATAGACGATATCATGTGCTCAAATCTAAGGAGTTTACTGATCAAAACACATGATGCCATCCTAAGTATAATGACCGAACATCAAGTTGTTTGCTGCGTTCGTATCAATAAACAATGTCACGCACCTGCGTAAGCAACATAAACGCATTATCAGCACCCAGACTTTGCTTCAGAAACTCAACACATGCAGTTTCCATCGCTGGTACGGCATATTTCTTGGCTGAAACGACATAAGTGAATTAGCATCGAAAATTAGCATGGAAAAAAGAGCAAGTACCTGTGTAAAGTGTCGTCATCACACTCTCCGGTCCAATTTCAACTTCGTCTGAATATAGAAAGCGAAGGAGTGCACGAAAGGCAGGCACCTCCACATCGGGCAATTCGATTTCCAGTGGATCTAAAAAAAACAATTACGACATGCAAAAAGAAAAATTACATCCCACAAGAAAACCATATAGGCTTTCTTTTGCCTTCTTCTAGAATTAGTTTACACAAAAACCTATTACTCCCTCATATCAGTTGTTTTGAAGCTATCAGACGATCATAATCCAATGATAGATAGAAATGAAAAAGGTCAAAGTTGTTATGCGTCTCGGAGCGATATCATGAAAGGCTGGACCGATAGATAAGATACCGACGCTGCTCTTTCTCAATGAATGAAGCAAGAACTGTGAGGTTGACTGCCTACATGTAGCAGTAGAAAACAAGTGCTAATAACCGTTGTTAACCACAGTTATCATAGCTCGTGATTTGATGCACTTTGAAATAGAGAGATGAAAGTTTGACTAAACATAAATATAAAAAACTTTAGCGAGTACTAAATAAGCCAGCGAAATTTCTCACAGCAATAGGTACCTCGTGAATTTTGCGGTGTAAGGCCGCCGTTGAACATTGCATCGAAAACAACAGAGCCGATCGACAAAACAAATTTGTGCGCGGGGATACGCTGAAAATACATCGTTGAATGGCGATTGAGTACGATTAGCAACAAAATTGCACGCAAAAGAAACAGGTCAATTTTTCGTAGCGGCAAGTACCTGTCTCATATCATCTTTTCCAACGATGAAATAAACATCAGCTAGGACATCCTTGCAATACATGTAGCTGATCCTTTCTTTGAGAGTGCTCTTGGCACCTTGCCATCCTAGTGGACTGTCGTCAACTGCATTCGCTGCACGAACTGACATTCCTGAAATCACAGCAGTTTGAATCATTCTGATCTTCGAAGGCTAATAAAAAATTAGAGACAAGACTTTATTTGCTCAGTTGCATAATCAATGTCTATGGAAATTTTTTATAAGCAAAATGCGAGCCGCTGTTACATGGAAGCTACCAAATCATGGTTGCCGACGAAGAATATATCAAAAAGAATGATTTTTCAAAAAAAAACCAAATAAAACAACAATTTGATGGTCTTCCTCTCAAAACTTTCTTGACTTGAGATGTGAAAACTGGTGTACATATATCATTCAATTATTATGCACTTGAACCATTACTGGACGGTGATTACCTCCATAACCTCTGTTTGTTCTATGTTCAGTAATGGGGCTAGCTCGACGGCCGATTGCTATCAGATTATTTGCAGGATGATCGGAAGCATTACGACTGGCTGGAACACAAGGATGTGATAAGCAAAGAAAACTATTTTTTTACTATGCACACTTAATTATACGATTTTGCTCGAAAGATACCTGGCTGAATATTTGCTGGACGGTTAGATCTCTCCAATATTCCTGACGGACCCGGCTCATCCTGCTCTTCTGAATGCATAGCTGAGTTGTTCGCCGGATCTGTGAATTTGGACGTTTCTACACAGTCATAGAACATACAATTTTTTTAAATTGAAAAACCTTACCTGCATATTTCCGAACCATATAGTTAGCAATAGCTGCTTCCACCTGCGGTGTCAGTGAATCCTCACCGCTTCTGAAAAACCCAGCAATGGAGAGTAAATTACGTGAAAACTAGTTCGCCACACGATTATTCGCTACTGAGGGATGAACATCAGAATTATTGCATACAATGGTTCCGTTCGAAACGAGTTTGAAGTTAGGATTTACTACATCAGGATGGAAACTGGTGTTCAACCCCACACTCTCGAATCGATAAGTGGTGCCTTTCCAAACTCATGAATCATAGCAATGCAAAGAAATAGAAACATCATAAACCTCTGAAGTACATACACAATGCCATTCGCAGTTGCGCGACGTCTTTGTGCTGAATGCTCGCCTTCTGCATCCTCAATGTCCTCAAACACTCGACGCATATTTGCACGTTCTAGTTCTTCGATTACATCCTCAAAAAGTTTTGCTAATCATCAATGATTTACAACAAAAATGGAAACACAAACCACCTGGTCGAAAGCTTGTTCCTGAATGACTTCGTCGATGAGACGCTGTCGAGCCAAGCGTGATTGCCTTTCACTGAAGGTTATTGTATAGCACAATGTTGCAGCAATTAGGGTCAAACGTGCTGACTTGAAATTTCAAGGGCACTCTACCAGTTGAACCCATTTCGCCTCTGTCGAGAAGGAGTCAAAGTTTTTGTACAGTTTAATCACCCATCATACCCTAGACATGTTCTACTGTTCGCTACTTGTGAATGGGCATTGTGAAGTGAAGAACACATCAACAAAGTAACCATAAAGATACTGATTGCCGAAGGAAGCAAACATTTCGTCACGGTCAGTGAGCTGACAAGGTTCAAAATATATTCCGATTCCAGCAAGTTAAAACAGAACAAGAGAAACTGTTATCAGCAAAATCCAGGCGAATTGCCCCAAATTAATGTCCCAAGCACAGTAAAGGGGAAAAATGGCATAGCATCAGCTCCGACTGCAAAAAGGTAACAGTTCATTGCACACCTTCCCACAAATTGGTTGAGGATTTTCCGTGAATGCATAAAAAAAAAAACTAACGCAAACGGTTGTCCATACGATATACAGTATTCAAAAAAGCAAAATAAAATACCTAGTTCCAAGATCGACAACTATTGGGTAGCCATCATCGTCCATTCGATCTGATTCAGCATGATATCCAGGTTGTCCAAGATCAGAAACTTGAGCCGTACCTGGACCAAAACAAAACATTAAATGATAGAATTAGAGAGGCGAGCATGGTTATGCAAAAATAAACTAGTTAAGAAAATGATATCATCCTAGCGGAGAGATAACTTGCTATGAAGATAAGAGAAATTCCAAAAACAGGACACCGCTAGGTACTTGGCAAATTTTTGCAACACACAAGAGACAGCGGGTAAGGATGAAAGGGTGGGGGGGGGGGGGGGGGTTGAGGGTTGTCTACGCGCAGATATGTTTATGGATTCAGGCGCATGGACAGTTATATTATACCTGGTTTAGTCCAATAAAATGATGCAGGTATAGTCCACATCATGCTAATGTTTTGCATGCTTCTCACACCGCTGGCAGATCAGGCATCAGCTGTGGACATACTGCTGACAATCAATAACGCAGTTATCAGAAGACACTGAGATGAGACGCAAACATGCTCATGTATGAGCCTTTCATTCGATAAACTCGAGTCATAGTGGCGAAAGCGAAAATTCGGCTCAAAGCTCTACTGGTACGCGATACATAGGAAAGGAGTGCTTGTTCATTTGACTGTGCCTCTGAGAATGAGTCATCTTCAGCAATTTTTACTTTTTCAATCAAAAATCCAACGGGAGTTTACAAAAATTACAGAAATCCAAAAAAGATGTTAAAATAGAAGATATAGTTATGATGCACGCAAAAGTCATCACTCGCTACCAATTAGAGCTTCTACAGGCAATAACCCTGCAAAATAGTTAGAATTTTCATAGTTTCTGCTCTTCCCCTCGCAATTCGAATAGACAAAACATTACACTATAGCCTATCCTGCAAAATAGTGAAACAATGAGATAAAATCAATGAACGCCACAACACTGAACGACCAGTCAGAAAAGGAGAATTAAAAGAAGTGACTCACCATCTGCAGATAAATGCACGGCGACGTCCACGTTTGCAGGAGGGTCTGCCATTGAACTTTCTACTTCATCGCCAACATCACAACCGAGATTAAGATGTCTGAATAGGAGCACATAACATCATTTGTGTCGCTGACTATGATTTTTTTTAAGGAGGCTCACTTTTGAAAGGACTGAAGGAGCTGATTTGCAGAACACGATGTAGAGGAATCGGGAAGTTCGTCATCGGCAGCAGCAGAGGTCGACGAAGTCCCAAGACCAGTGGACACCACTCGCTGTTTCTTATTCTGCTGCAATCGACTTCCTGATCCGATTTCCTAATTTATTATCAGATGATAGAGATAATGCTCTTTTGTGAGTAATATGGGGCCTTCAAGCGGTAGTGGAACACTTGCCAAAGCTATACCCGATAAAGGCAGGACACCACTCGAAAGTTCAGCCTAAATCGCAACGCGGATTTTTATGAAGGCTTGGAGTGAGTCCTCAACAGGGTCAAGCAAGGGGTGTGGCACACGATCGCTGGTTACGACCCCCCCCCTGATTGCTGTGTTAATAAGACCCCCCCCCTGGACTATACCCTTAAGATAGCATTACTTGGAGGCCCTGTCAAACATAATGGGCAACATATCCATAATGAGCATGTCAATTAACCCCTGTAGACAAAGTTTGAGCGAATCGTTAAGATTCAAGATACTAGGCTACCTAAGTGAAATGGTCAAATTCCAACATGGTTAACTTTGTTTCAAAGGTGAATTAGCTATCAGTTTCGCCTCATGACAAAGCACTACTCCTTCTTTGTCCACCTCAGGAATCCCGCTTCAAAAGACCCCCAAACTGTGGAATTAGAAGCCAACCAAAATCTCGTTTTTCCCATTTTTCGCTTTTGATCGCTGTGCTTTCACCAAATATTACTCAGAGCTAAGAAGACGAATCAGGCTCAAAGCACTCCTGTGAAAACTAGGTGATCTAGGCTGTCGATCCATATAGATACTGTCCGCTAAAAATGTTTTTTTGATATAGTTAATGGCCTGCGGCACCCCCCCCCCCTCAAAACCTGCGGCAGCCGCAGGTTTTGAGGGGGGGGGGGTGCCGCAGGCCATTAACTATATCAAAAAAACATTTTTAGCGGACAATATTTATATGAACAATAGCCTAAACCTCGTAGATTCCATAGGGATGTTTTGAGCCTGATTCGTCTTCTTAGCTCTGAGTAATATTTGGTGAAAGCACAGCGATCAAAAGCTAAAAGCGATTTTGGTTGGCTTTTAATTTAATAGTTTGGAAGTCTTCTAAAGCGAGATTCCTGAGGTAAACAAAGAAGGAGTAGTGCTTTGTATTGAGTGCAAGAAGAGGTAGCTTACTCACCGTTGAGATGAAGTTAATCATGTTTCAAATTACTGCTTTATACAAGGTTGTTTACTGCTCGGAGACCTCAGAGTTCGCTCAAACTTGGCGCATAGGGGTTATTCGACACGCGGATTACGACAATTATGCTCGATTAGAGGTACGGTAGGTTACGGTAGGCATACGGTATCTGTAAGTTTGTGTCGTTGAACTTGAATTTTGCAGGATTTCAACAGCGCTTTCATCAAGTCAATTTAGTCACACAGCTTGTACAAGTGCTTTTGACCTTGGATCGATACGACCCCCCCCCTATCTACCCCCCCCCCCTGCGGCGTGCCGCACCCCCCGCTTTACCCTGGTCATCAACAAAAGTATAACTTAGTCCCATGCGCTACCCATCCTATTATGTCTTCATTAACGATGCGATCGAGATTGCGATAGATTACTTACAACATACAGGCTGTCTCAGTGAGAGTGTCACAGCTGCATCGGCTCGGCTCCCCACGGCAGCTTCGCTCAACCTTGCGCCGGGTTCGTAAACGTGTCTTCCAGGCATTTTCCCAGGATCTGATCGCTGCTCGGCATAAAAAATGCAGAAGATTCGTCCGCGAACGCGGCGCAGGGCCCGAGTGAGGCGGCCGCGAAATCCAAACCGCTGGAGCTGTGACATCTAGCTGAGACAGCCTATACACCTCATTCGCCCATAACAAATTGTCCTTGAGTGCATAGCGTGCGATGGTTACTGATTAACACTGGAAGACCTGTGAACCCGGCTCAATGTTGCATCCAGAATCTAATAAAAACATACAGCTCAAAGCTTTGAACAAACCTGTTTTGATATCCCAGTGGATTTTGAGCAGAGAGTTGGCGGCTTCTTTTTCCTGGTAAAATCCATTATCTGTTCGCAGGTTAGCCCAACATGCTATAAAACAACATAGTTTAGAAATGGAATGCCATGTAGATTCAAAAAAATAGGAACGAGAAACGGTTCGTCGGGCAAATCCAAAAAAGAACTCATCAATACGGGTGAGTCAGACACAAAGACGCACGTATGGATGTTAGAACATGGTGATAGTGTACTTAACATATAAACGGCATACGCCCCACTTGAAAACATAAGATCTGAGGAAGAGCCAGCTCAAAGAAACAATGAGCTCGTTTTTTTTCTTTTGTAAATGTTATATATATAGGAAGGTAGGTACTACGTGAGCCAACCATTTTTCATGTTCATCTTGTTTTAACTCGAACAAAAACATGTATCGTCTACTCGGTGATAAGCTCGAAAACACTTTGCGTACGGCTGAACAACAAATTCATACCCAGTTCTGGCGTTCTGGATAATCTAGCAAATGACACGTGAAAAAAAAACAAGTTCATGCTATATAACAAGATGTGCATCAGTGTCCTAAGTGTCCGTCACAGAATTGTGGGACTTCTATCACTATCACACTCTGAGAATAGCACAAGTATCATACTCTCTCAACATTTTGAGATAAAGAAGTCCAAGTGGTATGGTAGCAAGAATTTTACTGCTCAACTGCATATGCGCGGACTGCGACTATACCATTTGATTCAACTGGCTTGGCTTTGTGACCTAATTAAGGCAAGGTAATGATCAGAGAGTACCCGCGCGAGAAAGACGCAGGTTCGTCGCGGGCGCGAGCGGTCTTGGGGTAGGAGCCAGAGTAAGCGAATATTTTGTTCAGCTTCGTTCAGCTGCAAAAGGTGCACAATCAATGTCTTCTGCATAATCTCTACTGCTGCCAAAGCCTGCTCCAGCTGCAGGTCCCGCACAGAATCAACGTTAATTCTGTGCACCTTTTGCAGCTGAACGAAGCTGAACAAATAATATTCGCTTAGGTACTAGGTGCCAGAGTAAGCGAATATTTTGTTCGGGTTGGGGTCCCGCGCAGAATGGACGTCACTCACATGCTGGCGTCAATGCAAGTGACGTCAATTCTGCGCGAGACCCCAACCTGAACAAAATATTCGCTTACTCTGGCACCTACCTTACTCTAGCACCTACCTGACTAGGCCACAAAACCCCGCCTTTTGGAAGCCAAGTCAGTTGAATCAAAGGTTACTTATCGTGCAAACCGGATTCCCCAGGTGAGACTGGGCTGATTTATCTGCTCAAGATGATTAGAAGCGGCTAAGCAATCCAATTCAGGTACAGAATATAGCGATTCCGATTATAAGACTGATGGCTCGATCTTTGACTTATAAATTTCTATTTTTTCGAGCCTTGCCCGCTCGCGGTAAGATTGGATTCAGATTATAAGAACAGCCGCAGCCTAATTTTCGGAAGTCTGGAAAAGTATGGAACCTTGTCATGCCTTTCTACAAAATATTACACATACAGCGAAGTTCACTTTGAAGAGCTCATTAGAAGGCAGAAAGCAGATCTAAGTGCTTGCACTTTCTATATAAAGACTGTTCAACCAAGCGCTGGCTAAAGCTGCGGCTCATACGGATTTACTATGGCCAAGTATTGAACGGTCCTTGCCAATACCGTAGTGTGGACCAAACAGCTGCCATAAGTACGGTACTGGGCGAGACTTCAGCGGCTTTTTCTCAATCAACAGTGAATCGATACCGCTAAGGCGATGGCGTAGTTGATGCTCCAGAAGCTTAGATGCCCACTCCGACGGGACACTGCCTAAATGTCATTTGAAGACCCCCCGCCCACCCTCTGGGAAGACAGAACGATTTCATTGCCATTTGGACGATAGAGGACTGCAAACAGCAAAAACAAGCTAGAAATTCAAACATCTTCCCCCTTCATTTCCCACAGCGAACTGGTTAAAAAGCTCGATAAAAGCTGGTCGACAAAATGCCACCAAAAATTTCGGCCATTCAGTAGCATCCTTACAGAACAACTTATCAGGCTGCAACCCTTCCCCGCGTGCGAGGAGTTGTCGGAAGTTGCAAGCGAAAGTGAAGAACAGCAGAAGCTGATTAGTCCAGAAACCCCCTTGAGTTTGAGAAGTTTCTTACGGAAACCGCTGACCATCTCATGATCCAGAAATATCCCTAGCAAGAGGAGAAGGAAACACCTTTCTTTCCAAGAAAAAAAAACAAGGAAAACACGGTCACCTGATCAATTGAACATCAAGCTGCAGCCGAATCGCGAACACAAAAACTTGCTCCAGCTCTGCGCAGGCGGCAGAAAATCGTGGCGGGACCAGTCGGCGTAAACCTTTAAGTTCACTCCGCCCTCGCTGGACAAGAGCTTTTACAAAGCGACTTCCAGCTTGAAATATGACTAGCTCGTCACGTGTTCGAACTTTTGGTTGCACCTAAGGACGTGTGGCGCTCTCGGCTTTCAGTTTCAAGTTGTCAATGTGTGCCGCACTTCGAGTGTTTCGATAGTGCTTTCACGTCATTCTTTCTGCCTATCTTAATCTTCAAAAACATTGTCACGTGCTGGAGTTTTACATTCTTACATTCTTTATAAATGCGAGTCGGTTTTCTTGGCTTTCGTTCGAATAATAGCATTGACATTTTTGCTTCAGCTTGTTCCTCTTCGAATTGCCATTCACATTTGCTCACATTATTCATTAGTTCTTTTTCCAGTAGTTTTTCTTTTTCTTCCTGCTTACTGATGGCGTAATGCATTATTTTGTATACGTCATTCACCTGGAATATCTCATGCTCAATTTTGCACTAGACATAACTATCAAAAAAGTTTTGCCTAGGTTGGAATCTCTTTAAGAACGCGTTTGTTTACCTCATTACCCGCTCCTGTGCATCTGGTGCTTTTTATGGAGGATATATCTTCATTGATTCCGTAGTCATATGAGAAAAACTTGATTTGATTTGATTTGATGTCTAATCAGTAACGCATAAGGCCTCGGACAGAGTTCACGCGAATTTGATCGTCGCGATTCAATCGCTGCTAGACAAGTGATACGAGTTCATTGCATGCCGATCTTCTTCTATTTCGGTTGTGATAGTTTTCCAACACGACTACTCGTGACTAACTATCACAACCGAAATACAAGAAGATCGACATGCAATGAACTCGTAACACTTGTCTGTAGCGATTGAATCGCGACGATCAAATCGCGGGAACTCTCTCCGAGGCCTAAGATAGAAACAAGAAACAAAATACACAACTCAACGATTAACTGAATGAAAGGATTATGAAAAACAGAGCAACGAACATTTCAAAAGTAAACTTCTGATGTGTTTCGACAAACATTTGTGCAATCGATTGAAATCTAACATATTACACTTTTATTCTCTCATGTCAGTCTCCAGCGTCCAATTGCGTCATTCCCATTTTTGCATCATCCATCCTGGTAACCTGCAACAGACAGGAGTGGGTGAATTTTTCTTTCTGTGTGTTGGTCCCGATCGATGAACATCAGCACCTTGTGTTGTCTGTGGTGTGTGTGTGTGTGTCTCAATACCCGCTTCGTGTCGGAGATTGAGTAGCGTTTCGGTCTCACACATTGATCATCGTTCTATTTGCTTTACAATCTTCATTTCTTACGCTCACTATCAGCTTACCCACGGAAGTAGATCACATTTACGCAATAATCTTCTTTTTCTGAGTTTTATTTGCTTCATTTCCTCTTCTCATGTTTCTTTTGACATTCAATTGTTTTCGAATGTTAATGGGATTAGTGCAATGTTTTGATCTTCTATTGGATATGAATGAATGCTTGGAATATTCTTGAGAATGCCGGCTGGCCTTTAGACCTGATTTCGCGTCTAGAGGTATTTTATTATGATATTTTTTATCAAGGCTAATTCTAGTGCTTCTGCGAAGTAGGTTTAGTATTGTAGGCAATTTAGATGAGATTATACATATGAAATAACGCTTGAAATTTTCCATAATGCCAGTCAATTTTTAAACCTGATTTCTTGCCTAGAGTTTTTCTTTTCATAGAAAGTTTATCAAAGCAAAGTCCAATGCGTCTACAAAATAAATTTAGCATTATGGATAATTTACATAATACGTTTCCATACTGGTTTACTAGTGAAAATAATGAACTCCTCTTCTTATTTCATCTTTATTTCTTCTATTATCGAGTCACGTGTTTCTGACTGGGAGTTCGACAGAAACTTTTGTAGCCAACGTTTAATTTTTAGTGGGATGTGAGATAGCGGGTTTGTTTTGTTACCAACTCGATAGTTTTTCTTATGATGCGCCTAGAATGTATGAGATAAAAATAAACATGATAGTTGATGAGCAAAAAATGTTGCCTTCAAATAAAAAGTTCTTTGTCAGTTTAGTCTGATGGACTAACAAGTCATCTTTCTGGTTTATTGTTGACTAAGTAAACAGATGGTCTATGCTAAGATGTGTTTGACAACTGGGCAAACTTTTTGGAGAGAAAATTCATTGCGCTATCTGGTGCATGTTTGAAAAAAACCCGTTGTTTGTTCGATCAAAAAAAGACGGAAGTTGACTTGGCTCTGATTTAAAGAACGTATTTGATTTCAAAAGTTAGATGTGATTTTGCAAAAAACGCGGAAGGGGATTACCTCAAAAATGCCATTCCTTGTGTCATCCAATTCAGCAATAACCTTCGTTAATGTTCTAAACACCTTTGAATTGTCATTTTTTCCTATCATCAGGTCAACATACAACTTTTGAAAATGTTCCAAACTACCTCAGCGTTTGTGCAGACAATTTTTTTGATGTCATCGTCAGAGAATGAACTTATTTAAGCTTGACATACATTCATTAACACCTGATATGGTATGACGCATCCTTTTGTTAGCAAATGTGCGCTATCATTCAGAAAGGCCGCCCTACTTATCAGAGTAACTATATATACTGCACGAACTACCTGGTAGGGTTATAAGGATTATTCTGTCTTCCCAAGCTCATGGCCAAGCTTCATACCAAAGTATGGTCGTCTCCACGATTTGTGTAGAGGTGTATTGCAGACTTTGCTTGATAACACAGGTAAACTTGTTAAACCTCCACGTCATAGCATTGTTTTTCGTACTCTCTCGCTATCAAAAACTGCCACGCTTTGAGTTGGCAAAACCCCGCCTCTACACAAATCGTGGAGCCGATGATAACTATATTTTTTTTTCATGAAAGCTGAACATATTAGGTTGGTCCATATGGTTTCCACCAAAAAATACTGAAAATTACTCAAAAATATCTAGGCCGGTGTTTCTTTACTGCATATTTTTTGTAACCTACTGCAAATGCTCTACCTTATAAAGCATATTAGGATTTTATACGGTACAAAATTGAGTCGAGTTAAAGGCAGCGTCCAGGCAAGTCTGGACCTATGGGGATTTTACGTGGAAAGTACTTTTGGGGCCCTAACTAAGCCACTGCCCAACCGGCAGCTCAGGTAATGTCCTAACGGCTGAGATATTCCCCTCGAAACTGGACCCCGCGACCGTGTTTCGCATGGATTCATGGCGCAAGGCGTGGATCTTGGCGCGAAACTGCCATGAATCCATGCGATTACGTTCGCGGGGGCCAGTTTAGGGCCCCAGAAGTACTTTGCACGTAAAAGCCCCATAGGTCTAGATTTGCCTGGACACTGCCTTCAAAGAACTCGAGTATCATAACTGTTAGTAGAAGCATCCATTCACCATAAATTTCTTTCAGTCGGGAAGGATATGTCTTGTAACGACAATTATGAAATCATATTTCCTCGTATATTCTAGCATCAACGGAATGACTGTCTCCTTCTAAGCTACGTACCAATTTGTTTTGAAGGACAAATATTTACCACTCTTTAAAAATTTTGGTGCGAGACTTTGGACAGTCTAATACTTCATGGCTTAGTCGACTAGACCGATGATTTAAGTGGCGTATAAGGCGTCTATGGGTAAGCTTGCTGTCACTTAAAGGCAGCGTCCGCAACTCATCAGTTTCGCTCGAGGACCTCTGATGGGTTGCGCCATGATTCCATGCAAATACGATCCTGGGCCACCTTTGAGGGAAGTATCTCAGCCAGTACCTGAGCTGCCGGTTGGGCAGTGGCTTAGTTAGGGCCCCAAAATTAGGGTCCACGTGAGATTTCCATACGTCCAAATTTGCCTGGACGCTGCTTTTAAGTATGACCAGTTGATAATTCCTCATCAGCTTAAGTCTTTCTTTTACAGCTTGAATTCAATAAATAATCCAAATAAATTAAAGATATAAATAACAGTAGAATAATAGTGATACTGGTGATAGTATTAATAATAACAGTAGCATTACCCTAATTTCACGCGTATAAGGCACGGGGGAATTTTTTCCAAAATCGACCAGTCCAGACACGCCAAAGGACTTTACAACCAAAGGACCCTATAACGTGCTGTTTACTGCTTGAGAGAATCGTGCAATGTAAGGATTTCTTTCCGGAATAAAGTAAAGCTGCTGAGCGGCTCGCTTGAAAATTCGGAAATGCGCCTTATACCATTGGGGTACCCTATTTTCAGGTGTATAAGCCGCGGGGTGGTCCTAGCTTACATCGATCAGCCCGAACACATCAATGGACCTCGCATCCATAGGACCCTATACCGTGCTGCGTATTGTCTGAAAGAATCGTGCGGCATAAGCACCGCTTCTCGAAACACAATGAAGCGGCTGAGCAGCCCGGGTGAAAATCTGAAAAAGTGCGGCTTATACACCTGAAAATAGGGTAATAATAATAATCTATCATGCGCAACGGTCAAGTTTACTAAGTTCTAATGCTTCAAAATCTCTTGAGGAAGAAACTGGCTGTTTTTTCCTATTAAAAAAATGGTGTTAACATACCACTGTAGGAAGTAACTATTAAATGCGTGCAAACGTGTTTCGATATCAAATGTCAGTATTGGCGAAATGTTTACTTAGGTGGTGTTACATAATGTTTCAAACCCGTCTTCATATGCACTAAATAAATAGTGACGAAAAGTCATTCGCTTCCGTCGCCGCTCAGTCATTGCATCCGTTGTAGACCTCGTGGTTTATTGCTATTTTCTGTTGCCAACTTTTTCATGTGTGATCGTAATGATTGTCACCTGATTGCTCACCAATAATAAATCTTATTCTTGGTTCGTGCACAGATTTTGCGCAATAATTGTGTCCTTGGGTACTGGCGTATTCTGTTTGAATATTGAAGTGGAGTCTCTCAAATTTTATACTTCAGGCTGTGACGTATAAAATTATGCGTGCGTTGCCCATTTTTACAAATATAATTGATTTAAACTTTTTTTTAGATCTGTCAGTTGAATCCTTTCAAACTAGTTACATTTGTAACTAGTGCATTTTTGTGATACAAGACGTTTACAAAGATATGGGAATGAGGCTGGATCGCTCAGAAGTCCAGGAGGTAAGCCTTAATGGGAATGGCTAAGGATTGCTCGGATTTTTGTAGTCTCGAGTTTTTCAGATTCTACAAAAGTTTGTCATCAGCGAAGATGACTTACATATCATCAGCGAGAAAATAGAGTTGGAAATGGAAGCTGGCCTGTCCAGCGTGGACGGGTCTAGCATTGCCATGTTACCCTCCTATGTTCCAGCATTACCTGATGGATCAGGTTTGGAGTTTTATTTTTAGTTTTTTTTTTCGAAATTTGCCTTTGAAGCTTTTCTTAATTGTGAGGTTTCTTCTCTTTAGAAGAAGGGAAATATGTTGCCATCGACTTGTCCGGTAAAAATTTGCGTATCATGCTGTTAACTCTCAATGGCAAAGGACGTGAACCTACTGCGGTTAATAACAATTATATCGTACCCAATCATGTGATGAAAGGTACAGGAGATCAGGTGAGATCAGAATTAAATTTTTTTCATTCCTTTTTACGTGACTCATTGGTTAGGGGAGAATGCCAAGAATGATGGCTATTTTTTGTGCTCATTTATTCTGCAGTTTGCCAATAAATTTTTCCTGCAGGCATTAAAAAATAAGCTTTATATTCACTGAAGGCATGAAATAAGCGCACGTCTGTGATTGCTCTGTTTCATGTTCGTTCATCTTGTCAGAACCGTTGTCAGAAGCATTATTGACTGATTTTTTTTCAACTTCCGTGTCTATCTGTACCTTGCAGCTGTTCACTTTTATTGTCAACTGTTTGCAACGCTTTTTGCAAGAGTTCGGATTGGTGGAGGCAAATTTACCCATTGGTAAGTTTTTGTGTAACCTTTTTTTCTTAGTCCTAAAATTTTTTCCACTGTTTAGGATTCGTGTTTTCTTACCCATGTGAACTTCTTTCAATACGATCTGCTCGACTACTGTGGTGGACTAAAGGATTCGATATCAAAGATTGTCTTAGAAAAGATGTTGTCCAACTCTTAGAGGAAGCTTTGGAAATGAATATGGTGGGTCTTTTTGACCTATTTTTCAAATACGTTGTCTAATTGATTAGGCATAGTTATAATCCTCTTTCGTTAACACATCATGTTGCCGTTTTGATTTCCGACAATTTTTCTCTCAAATCATCGTTTATAGTCTACCAAAGCACAAATCAAAGCTGTGATGAATGATACCGTTGGTCAGTTGGCCGCCGCTGGACACAAATACGGTCCGGAGTGTACTATCGGGGTTGTGATAGGCTATGGGTAAGTTTTTTGCATTCTTTGATGTGAAATTATCAAAGGTCTTTCTTTTAGATGTAACTCTTCCTATTTGGAAAAAACATCTCGCATTACCAAATTCGATGCAGAGGGTGTTGGATATAAACATCCCAATATGGTTGTCGTAACCGAATGGGAGGAATTCGGATCAAAGGTATGTTTCACGAAGCATCGAGTATATTGATTTTTGAAGGCTCGAGTCAATTTCTTCATGCATCTTTATTTCACGAGGAGTTGCTTATTGTCTAATAATGTTCCCTACCTTTTCTTCTTGAAAATTTGTGCGCTGACTAATTGCTGCTGCATAAGTACTGAATGAGAAGTTTAAATGCTTCACTTGCTTCTCTTAGGGGAAGGTTTTTGTTACGAAGTCGTTTTGTCTGCTGCAAGCTAAGCTTAGTGTGCTTTTGACTAAGCCTCGTCAGTAATTAGCATCCTTTGATTAGCCCCATTATGATTTTTGCTTTTTCTTCCTTGGAGCGGGTACTGCGCTGTTTTCTACTTACAACAATATGAGCGCATCACGTGGTGTTTTATTTACATCACTCTTATACGTCATTCTCATTTTACATGAGTGCTTCATTGTTATGTTTGATGTGTTTGTGTCAATCTGGCACAGACAGTATTCGCAGTCTCAGGCTGGTATCCATTCGTGTTTTTTTCACTGTTTACTACTTCGCTCGCTCGAGTCGGCGTACTTTGCACCAATCGGCAGTGGCTGACGATCGACTAGGTCATAGACAGATATGAAGTAGAAACACGATTCGACAGGGGCTTGGGTGGGGACAGACGATATTGATGAGTAGTGCGCAGGGTCGAAATTAAGTTCTTCTCTATTTGCATAGGTTAAAAGAAGCTTTAATAGGGGGGGGGGAGGGCAAAACCCCGTAACAACATCTGCGGTCCAGAGTTTTAGGGTTCGAAGCTATCTTTGCAATTTTTTCTTTTTCCGCGGAATAATTTGGTTTTCAAGCAACATATTGTAATATAATAGAATTCAGTAACTGAGTTTCATGCGTGATTCGAGACTATTTTTGCAATCATTTTTTGTCTTCTTCACGGATTTTTTCTTTTGATTTTCGACGCATAACGTAAATTAGTTGTGGGTTCAGTAACTCACTCTTTTCTCTTTTTTTTTTTTGAAAGAAACTTTGCATATATAGATACTACAAGTATCAACGTTTGGAAGAGTAAATAAACAACTCACGGAGTACGATGTACTCAGTGTTTACCCAGCATGCCCAAACATTGTGTCTGCTGACGTTGAAGTAGTTGAAGCCATTTGGATAACTAATTTTTGATTTTCTACTTACAACAATTTGTTATGAAAGGGCATGCACTGATTTCGTCATATGTCAGCCAGCAACTCATTCTAACCCTAGACTAGCCATGCAAATAAAAGTTTTTGTTCATTGGAATGAGATCTAGGGTTTCTGGCAGTCAGTGAGAAATGTGTTCTCATCGCGTTTTGCAAGTGTTATCGCGCCAGCCACTTTGCACGAGGACGAATGCACCTGGTCGTCGTAGAGAGACTAGGGATTTACTTTGTGCTTTCAATGATCTCATTAAATCTGCGGAGGTGCACGAAGGAGTCCAGCTGTGACCGCTGGTAGGGATGGTCTGGAGAAGGTTTCGCTCAAAAATTTCTGATCTCATTACCCGTCCCTAATTCTCATAAGATTTCGGGATGTCGGGTTAAGTTTCTGTTTTCACGATGTAGGAGCGAAGTACAGTGTTGATGGAAAAACTGGGTCAGCAGTTTTAAGTACACTTTTACTTGTCGATTGAATTGAAACCTGAATCTGACGCAGCGGCTTCTTATGGCGCAGATAATGCGAGGGGCAAAAGTTTGGCTTTCCACGAGAAGAATCTGAGTAATTTAGTTAGCGATTTTTTCTGAACTCTTCCCATGATCAGTCATTTAGCTAAACGCTTGAAAAACGCGAGAATATGACTTTGACTGATATTCATGCCTTTTTTGTAAGTTCCACCTGCTAAAAACTCGGTAACGGCTGATGAGTCATTGCAAAGTTTTTATTTGCAAGACGTATACAGATTATTGCAGTCTTGCAAGGTGTTTTACGGCTCAATTTATTATCCGCTATGTAGTCACGTTCATTTATCTAACCAATGTTTTGCAATTTTTGCAATTACAGCGAGCATCACACGGTATTCTGCAAGAATGAGACATAAAACCTAATCATTTTGTAGAAATTATCCCACGCATCCTCCTCCGTTTGCTATTTGCATGTATTAGTGAGGTGCGGAAGGATATGAGAGTGACGACTGTTGCAAAAATTAGCTCCAGCATCGATGCCGGTCAAGTGTTAGATTGCTAGGCTGAGAATGAAAACTCTGTGGATCAATAGCTCATAACCTAATGAAATAATCCCCTATTTCTTTGCAATTAAGCTAAAATAATAGTTTTTTTATCGCTTTAACATCTAAAAATAACTGAAAATTTGGTAAGGGATGGACGTTTTCTAAAGTTTTTGAATTTATTTGTCTTGGAACTTGAGAGGTCGACCATGCACCCTCTAGGAAAATCGAGGTTATTTTGAATGTGGATTGCACAAGCAAAAAATGTAAGTTTATTTTCACTCTGACGTTTGTCACACTGTAGATACCTTGTTACTTGTGTAGGGATAAAAAACATCCATTTATTTATTCTCTCTAAGTGAAGAGTCTTTTGACAACTTTCTTCCGCCAGATTTCTTTTTCACAAGAACCCCAGCCACGTGTTGACTTTCCTGTGCTTTACAGTGCGTTGACACGGCTATGTCCTCAGCTTTTCGGTTGCTCACGTCATTGCCATTAGGATGAGCGCTTCTCATCTGTTCAAATACCTTTGCTGCTTGCGTGAGAAGTCACGAAGCACAGATTTTATGAGTTATCGATTTCCTCAATTTTCGCATGTCATTATGAGACAGACATTCTTCGGAAGTGGCTCGCCAAAATGTTTTTTGTTAACCACGTGCCGCTGTCATTCCCCGGAAAACGACATCATCTGTGAGGTATGGGGGCCGAAGAGTCGTTCCTCGTCGGTGTGCACGCCGCTTTGAGTGTACTTTGGTTGTTAAAGCAAAGTGCTTACTGAGGCGAGGGTGAGAAGTGAAGGGACTTGAGATGTCTGAGCCATGTGCTGGGATTGAAATCTGCATATTGCGAGCGGGAAATCCGCTTGCGCCACTCGAAAGAGTACTAGGAAAAACTTGGATTCAGGCCAGTATGCAAAAAAAACCATGCTGTCATAGAAAATATTAAGAGCAGCACGGATCGTACATCAGCATTTGCATGCATGTTTCAAGAATCTCCACGTAATAAGTTGTAAGCCTCTTCTTTGTTTGATCTATGGTGCTAGATAACCAGGAAGCCAGTGCATTTGATTTATTTGAAGTCATTAGCTCAGTGGTTTTCGATTCCGACTGCTGCTGTTCGCTTTTTGGGTCTTTCAATTTGGTTTTAGCTAAGGTTCCTCTTTTCACAGTAGGTTGGGGGCTGAACTTTTCATCCGTACCGAGAGATCCAAGTGACTCTGAGGTAGTTTTTCTGAGTTGTCTGATATAATCTTATGGATTTTATAATTCGCTGAGAACAATGTATGCATCCATGCACCCATTGGTGGCCTGGTGGTTTTGTACTAACAAGGAAGCGTCGTGAATTAGAAGTGGCCGATTGCTGCATAACATTAATGAGAGCTTAGAACGCTTATTTTAAATCTGCTTGCCCTGCCCGCAGAGCGCTTTTGGGGAAGAAATAACGAGCATTTTTAGGCGACGTAATGAACTAAGGTGGCTATAAAATCATTCGTTTTCTACACAGGTGCGATAGTGTGAGACTTTTCTCACCCCCTCTTCACCCCTGAGCGGGACCAAGGTGACCCCCTTCACCAAAAGCCGAGAAAAAAATCAACAGTGAGGTAAGGTTAAGCAAAGGAGATATTTGTACGTGAATTGTCACTGTGTAGGAAAGGAGGAGTCGGTTGAAAAAAGTGCTTGGTGACGGGTGTGAGTAGTGATTCTGGAGATTTTCGGGTTTTTGACATAAAAAAATTCATAACTTTTGTAGATGAACATCTTTTACGGCGAGATAGTCAAAATTAGAACCGCCTCGTTCTCCGCTCTCAGAAAATATACAGCATGTTTAAGATCCTTTAGAAAAAGTGCCTGGTGCAGGATGTGCCTAGTGATTTCTGGGAATTTTCTAGTTTTCAGGATAAAAAAATCCGTGACTACTGCAGATGAACAGCTGGTGCAAGAAAATAGTGACCATCGGAACCGCCTCGACCTCCGCTAAAAAAAAATACGGCATGTCTGAGATCCATTCAAAAAAGTGCATGGGTGAAGGGTGTGCTTAGTGAATTTTAAAGATACTCGATTTTTTAACATAAAAAAATCATAACTTTTTTAGATGAACATCTTGTACGCCGTGATAGTCACCATTGGAACCGTCTTGTCCTCCGCTTTCAGAAAATATATATTTTGCCTGGGGTCCGTTGAAAAAAAGTGCCGGGTGAAGGGTGGGTGAGACTTTTATAATGGGAGTGCTCTAGTAGACGCCTTTTTACAATGGTAAAAAAGCCTGTACTTGAGCACTCCCATTATAAAAGTCTCAACCACCCTTCACCCGGCACTTTTTCTAATGGACCCCGGGCAAAGTATATATTCTCTGAAAGCAGAGGACGAGACGGTTCCAGCGGTGACCATCCAGGCGTACAAGATATTCACCTAAACAAGTTATGAATTTTTCTATGATAAAAAATCGAGTAACTTCAAAATCATCAAGCACACCCTTCACCCAGGCGCTTTTTTGAAAGGATCTCAGACATGCTATATATTTTTTGAAAGCGGAGGACGAGGCGGTTCCGATGGTTACTATTTCCTTGCACCAGTTGTTCATCTGCAGTAGTCACGGATTTTTTTATCCTGAAAACTAGAAAATTCCCAGAAATCACTAGGCACATCCTGCACCAGGCACTTTTTCTAAAGGATCTTAAACATGCTGTATATTTTCTGAGAGCGGAAGACGAGGCGGTTCTAATGGTGACCATCTCGCCGTGAAAGATGTTCATCTAAAAAAGTTATGAATTTTTTATTTTAAAAACTCGAAAATCTTCAGAAATTACTAGGACACCCTTCACCCAGGCACTTTTGTTGACGGACACCAGGCAGTGCATATATTTTCTAAAAGCAGAGAACGAGGCGGTTTCAATGGTAGCCATACCGGCGTAAATTATGTTCAACTTCAGAAGTTACGGATTTTTCTATCCTAGAAACTCGAAAATATCCAGAAATCACTACCCACACTCATCACCAGGCCTTTTTCAACAGACTCCAGGCAAACTATATACTCTCTACAAGCGGAAGACAAGATGGTTTCAAATATTCACCTTGCTGACGTTGCTATTCATCTACAGAAATTACGAATTTCTTCTTTGAAAAAAAATTCATAAATGCTTAAAAATTGTCTAACTCTTCCCGAAACAAATGTTCGCATGCACATCAACTATGGTAACTCCAAAACAGGCAGGGCGAGCGATGTAAAAAAGGGAAAAGGAAATGTAAAAAAATACAAGGTGCTGGTCAGAAATATAATTGTATGCTAATCCAGCAGCGTATAACTTCACATTTCAGAAAAAAGACAAACAGTGATGGTAAAGAATTGAAAATTATGAACTTTGACTGGGAAAAATGATGGCTCACCCTCCCCCCCGTCGACATTTTACGATTTCTTTACTCAGTAAAACACCCTTCACCCTGGAGGGGTTGCGACCACTGTGACCCCCTTCACCCTGGAAGAGTCATTCTCACCTTATCGCACCTGTGGTTTTCTAGACATCAAAAGGAGCAATAGAAAATACTGATATGCTAGACAGAAGTTCTCCTATAAAGTATCATAGCACTTGCTATACTTTTATCTAGGTTTTAGAGAGGCCGAAGCTATTATTTTAACCGCGGCAGTCAATTCATTTTTCGACACGAAAAATACTCATAATTTGCTTCCCAGAAGCGCACTGCAGATAGTGAGAGCAGATTCAGAATCAGCGTATTGAACTTCCACCAGAAATAGCAGCTTGTGGCGATTGGCCACTTTGACCGTTACCCTCTTAAGCATATAAAATACGTGCTGTGAGACTTCTCTGTCTTATACTGCCAAGTTCTCGGTCTCTCTGCAAAGCAATTGCTGAAAATCATGTACAAGCTCGTCGCATAAAATGTTATTTGATGTCATCGAGACCTGTGTCTGAGCTGGCTTTTTGTTTTATTCCGTTCAATCGGGGGTTATCTCTGGTCGCTAGACTTTGAGACTCATGAATAAGATAGGTTTTCCTTTCTTCAGCTTTCTTAAGCTCTGGAATTTGAGTAATAATATTTCTGATCTTTTATCTGTGCGAATTAAGTTCCACTTATTGTCTGCTTGACATAATGCATAAATCTCATTCTCGCTTAATTTAGGGTGAATTGGATTCTATACTTACGCAATTCGACAAAGAAATTGATGCGGCGTCTGTTCATCAGGGAAAACAGATGTGGGTTCATTTTTGGTTTGAATTCGCTTTGGTTTTTCTGTGACGATTCTTTGTTTTTCGGCATTGAGAGATTCGCTCAGTGATTTGATTTCAGTATTGACAAACTAACGGGTGCTCTTTATCTGGGTGAATTGGTGCGTCGGGTATTGTCGCAGCTAGTATTGGATAGAGTACTATTTGATGGTCAACCATGTGAAAAACTTGATGAAGCAGATGCTTTCCCTACAAAATACATAAGCGAGATACTAGCGTATGTTGTCAAAGGCACCGTTTACCGAGGTCTGAGGTCGGTAAGATTTTGATGCAGTACAATAGTGGGGCTACTAAAGAAAAATGTATTCTGAAGTGAGAAGGTCGTTCCAGAAAGTGTATGCTTTGGGGGGCGCCACGCCTACCTTGGCGGCTTAGAGGTAATGAGCCGGAGATTAGTTCAGTAACATCAAGCAATAAAAAAAATTTTTTTTGATAGTTTTCCTTATTACCTCTACGCCATTCAAGTTGGTGGGCGTGGCACCCGCAGCACTTCCATCTTCTCGAGAGATTTTTTCCGCTTCGGTAAGACCTTTATCCGCGGGATTTAGGCAATTACTTAGCGGCTTCTCTCAATTGCATCAAAATCTCCCCAACTTCAGAACTGGGCGGGGGGTGCCTGAAAATCAGAACATATGAATTATAAGCTAATATCAGCGTGTTACAGAGAAGAAGATGGAAGTTATAAAGCCTGCCGTAGAATTTGCGACGAGTTGGATGTGCCAATGCATGGATCAAGTGACTACCATATTATTCGTGATGTTTGCTTCGCCGTCTCTGATCGCAGCGCAGCCATCGTTGCAGCGGGTAAGATCTTTCTGGCTTTTTTTTCTGGGCGAGGAAGTGAAGACTTCTTTTTGCAGCCATAAGTGCTCTGCTTCGTCATTTGGAGGTTTCTCGAGTCAAAATCGGTGTTGGTGGTGCTCTGATCCAGTTCCATCCGATCTATCACAAACTGCTCCATGATAAACTTGTTGATCTCGCTCCGTTATGCACAGAGGTATGACTGGTTACATCGAAAAATATATTTCCAAATTTATTGCAATATATTCTGCTGTTCTGATGTTCTCTACTTTTTTTATTTCGCAGTTCTTTAGCTGGTGGTTATTGTGTATTTGAAAGCATGCAACTTTATTCAACTACGTTTTTCTTTGGTGAAGTAGTGATTTGGATTATGGGTACATATGAACGTGTAGCGCATTTGCGTCCTCTATATACCTATGACTGATCCACTTGGCCGCTTAGCCGCTTCATAATTGGTCAACTCGCTGATCTGACCGATTATGAAGTGGCTAAGCGGCTAACCGGGTAAGTTCCTGCGTGCCTATAGAGCTAGTAGATTTGACAATCCATGCAGTGCCCAGCATTTGCGGGTGAACAGATTGCTATGTCTGAATGCCGACGATTTGCGCTTGTAAAATGGCTGTAGAGCCACTATTCCAAATTTTTTCGCATAGTACGTTTGTTCACGCGCAGATGTTGTCAGCATCGCGAGAGTATTGTATGTATCGTCAAGTCTATCGTCCACTCTACAATTGATGCTACCTTTGCTCTGCGTCTCTGGCCTGCGACGCACATGGCTTACGTCGGCAATATGCAGAACCTTGAAACGTTTTGGCAGTCAGCTCATATGCGGACTCGTTGTTGCATGTTGCCAAAATATTAGCTACGCGTGCCGCATTCAGGAACGCAGAGTGGAGGTGGCAGCAATTCTGGAGTGGACGATACTAGTCTCTCGATATCATCTCTTCGCGTTGTTAGGCGTTTTCTTGGCACTTTGAGAAAGTTTTTGAAGATCGACTAATCTTATTTTCTTTTCGATTCAATTTTTTGCAAAATTCTTGTTCTTCGAGTTGAATTTGGTCAAAGACACGATGTGTTTCAGTGGGAGTTGGTGCCAGCTGACGAAGGCAGTGCTCGGGGAGCGGCGCTTATCGCAGCAGTAGCCGAGAAGATGAAGCTGTAAGCTGCGTCACGTCGTTGTGCCTGTGCTTCATGCACCCAGATACACTTTTGCCAAAACTATCTGCTTAGCATCCATTTATCGTGTGGGAGATATCGCCATTGTTGCGAGATTTGTGCTGAGCTCGTTCACCGTTTTTGGCTCATTTTCTAGTGCAGCTAGTGCGTTCAAACGTATACGAGCGATGCCGCATTTTGCTCGTACATCGTTAGACTCATGGCTATTTGGTGCGTTTCCACTCTGTTATTTCGATCTTGATTGAGTTTTGCTCCTATTTGTACAAGCTAACAGACAAAGACATTTTTTTTCTCAATAACTCTCTATCAAGGTCTGCTGCATTTGCAGTTTTTTTTAGTGAATAAATCAGTTTACATGCAAGTATTAGTGGAGATCCATTTGATCCCACACGCATATGAATCCCTTTTATATTCTACTGGATGATTTGGCTGTACTTTTTTTGTGTGTCGCTAACGAAGAATCGTTTTATATTTTTTATTTATACATATTTTACTTGTAACTTTTATTTTGACCCATCTCCATGGCGTAGGGCTATGCGTTATGTTCATTGTCCCTGCCTAAACCTTCCCCTTCAATCCTTTCAAATCTTCAGCGCATGTTTTCTATGACCCCCTCCTTTCTAAACATCCACTTGTGCCGTTATGTTTCATATTTTATCCCGCCGTGGCAAAATGCTTGCTACATGTCATTTTTCCCACACTGGGCATTTTCTCCGAATCTTTTTTCTTGAGCTGAACCATAACAATTACCATATTCTGTAATGATGATTATGATATATTCGCCTGTCGGTGTATTTTATAGTCAGTTGCCATAGCCTTCTTCATTCTTGATATACAGATGCAATTGTTCACCATAGTTTGTACGTTTCACATTTGTAATTTTCAAATTGGTATACGTCAGAGTTTTCCTTATGATAAAGTGCTGATTATGAGGTCTCCTGTTTGTAGAAAAGGCGACTTTGGCCTAAGTTGCTTCACCATTTTTCATCAAATGTCGGAAAGTCGAGTGATTGACGAGTTGAAATAGCTCACCTTTGCTAACTGACTAATGGAAGACCTGTCCACCTTTTTTCTTTTATCTTGTGTGTGACAGGGGTTGCTTGGCCCCGGGGGGAGGGGAAGGGGCTGAACTCTGATTTTCACTAACTGTTAAGCTGCGCCGAGCATATAGTATATCAACCATTCTGATCACGCGTAAAAGGTTCTTCTACGCACGACCGATACCATTCAATCGTAACCAACGTGCTGAAGAACCGCCTTGAGCAACTTCTAAACAATTTCGTAATTTGATCCTACCGTACACCCACCGCAGCCCCAAGCGGCGCTAGAAATCAGTATAATATTCGTGACAGCGTGCAAAACAACCCCTATAGACCAAATTTTAGCCGATTCTGTGATTTTATCCTACCTTGACCACAGAAAAAACGTTTTTTTCTGGAAAGAATGAGGTATTCGTGCAGAATATCGCATCATACCCCTCTCAGCGTTTCAGTGGAACCTAGGGATTCGAGCCCTATATACCAGTGGCGTAGGCCCCTCCCCCCCCCCCCCCCTCCCCCCCCCCCCCGAGAACGGGTCGCGAAATGTTCAAAAGTTACTTACATAGGTTAGAGTCGAAATCCTGGGTACGCCACTGCTATATACCTATAGTGATTTCGCGTAAAAAAGTTGATCTTTGTAAGCATACGTCAGATGATCCCCTCATCCAAGTTTCAGCTAATTCTGTGATATTGACCCTACCGTATACTTACCGTAACAGACGGGGACGTTTCTGGCGGAAAAAGTGTGCAATAATAAGTTCCATATAGCGCAACAGTCGACAGGGTAGAGGACTATATGTCGTCAAAAGGCAATGGCGGCTTCGGGAGGGCATTTTTTGGGATATATATGAAATTTTTGTCGGCCTATAATCCCGAAATCCTAGAAAGGGCGGGCGTGGCGGTAATCACGCCCATTTTTTTTCCAAGGCTAATTTTAGTTTTTAAAAACTTAGAAAAACATTTTAATCATTTACGAGTATAAGTAAGTCACCTGCACATCAAGGGGGACATCTGCAACAATTACGCATTTTGGCATTCGTAAAAGGTGCGAATTTGCTGCAGGTATACGAGACTTCTCTTTTGGCGATATATAGTCTTTTACCCCAGTACGGTATTTATTTATTTATTTATTTATTTATTTATTTATTTATGCATTCAGTGATGCGCCTAACAAACGTATTAGTTCGATGAGATCGCTAATTTGCAGTGAATGATAAAACAAAGAATAAGTGCTGATTTTTCGAAAAATTAGATTGTGCTGCAAAAATGAAATAAAATTATAGCCCACTCTAAATAGGTGTGTAGGTAGTGAGTATAAGCGAAGAAGCATGAATAGTAGTGCTGTAACCATGGTGTGAATAGCTTTTGAGCTATCACTCTCAAGCGAAAAAAGATAAAGGCACCAGAGCGAATGGTCTTTCCATGCGTGCCCCGGCGGGAATACCTCTTTGAGCTTTCTCTTACATCGCTCCCTTGGAAAGAAGGTGGCAGATAATAAGTGCATGTGTATAGTATTATAAATGAGGTCGTGAAGTCCCTATGAGAAGGCTTAATCCACACTGAGACGACTGAAAAGAGTTTGATTTTTGGAGAAGCCAGCTTTTATACATGTCAATAAACATGAAACAACTGAGTTGAAACCAAAAAAATGAACCAATAGTAAGAAAGTTTAGCTGCTTTCGGAGTATTTCACTTGTAGTAAATTAAGTGTGGTGATTCTACGTTTGAAAGTAGCTACATTCTCGGCTTGCAGTGTATTACACGGTAGTGTACAAAACCATCGTGGAATTCTATAAAAGAAACTGTTGAACACGAAACGAAAACATTTTCTTTGAATACGTGAATAATAAATGTGAAACCCACCATATCTACTAGTCGGTGTGAAAATCCAATATTTACTCGCATTGATTCTAAACTCTTTGCGAGTCGGGCAAAGACAAGATTCAAATATACACGCCTATACTCTAAACTTTTCATCGCCAAGTATTTGAGCCTAGTCTCGTAATTGGGCATTTCAATATAATTGAACTTTCGTCGGCACCTCATATATAGTATTCGAGTAAACTTTTATAGTGTGGTATATTGTTGCACGTAGCAATTTTTCGCAGCAGTCAAACAGTCAGGCCCGACAAGAGGACTGTTCGGTACTTGTTTATTCAGAGAACTCAGTTTCGCACTTATCTTTACTTATATCTGCATTGTTTGCTGGGAAATCATCACTCGAAGACCTCATTGTTCAGGTTATGTTTCGTCGTGCCACAAACTTGCTTGCCAGGTCATCTGTAGGAAAGGTGAGGTCCTCGTTTTGGTCTTTTTCTTTTTTTTACACATTTCACTCGAAATCGGGGCCCGATGCGAGTCGATTCCATTTCGAAATGAAGTCGCTGTCCCCTAAAATCTACTAACAAGGAACGCATGTTTAGTAAGTGGCCTTTTTAGATGGGTTGTATACCATATTAAAGGGTATAAAATGCTGATTCCGAATTTGCCTTCCTTATCTGCAGAGCGTTTATGGACGAGGGCTTATGAGCGCTAATTGGAGCAAAAAATTGTATGTGCAAGTAGGAAAAAATAGCAGTAATGCTTTTTCTAGCTCTTTAATGAAGCGGTGGTAACTATCAGAGCACTTTATTCGAAATATATTCCAAAATAAAAAATAGATCACATTTGGTTGCTTGAGAGCTAGTAAGATTTTAGCAACTTATTTTATCCAAAATGCACATTCAATTTTTGACGCCAACGCTCATAACTCCGCGTTCATAAATGTTCTGCAGTTACGGAGGGTAGGTTTGCAATCAGCGTTTTATGCCCTTTAATATGGTATACATCTCATTTAGAAAGGCATTTCGACTAAACAAGCTTTTCTTGTAAGTTCCCTTTGAGCTTTACTGTACCCTCCCCCTCCACCACCGTCGATCCTTGACGTCCTATCTACATGTGTAAGGACGAAGCAAATGACCAAAAAAAGCAAGCACAATTAAAATCTAACAGGGGAGCGTGGGGATTTTTAAAGGTGAAGCGCCAGTCACTACAAACTGCATTTATCCGGTGAGGTCTTGAATCGCTGACTTCAAATCTGCTTTCCCCTTTGGGAGAAGTTATGAGCTTTTTTGAGGCGGAAAAATGAAATAATAATCCGAGTTAAAATTGATGGTCACGGCCTTTCTGGTTGTTAAATGCAGAAGTAGGAATATAGTACTATCACACTAGGCAGAACGAGTTCATTGTAAGAGGTATTCTGGTACTCGCTGCTGCTTCATGTAAGGTCTAGAGAGGTTGTAGCGATTAATTTTATCCCGGCCATCAGTTCATTTTTCGGTTGAAGAAAAATACCCGTAACTTCTTTATCAAGAGTGATCTGGAGCAGATCTGTAATTAGCGCTCCAAGTTCTCACTAACGGTATGCAGTTTGTGTTGGTTGACCTCTACTTCGCCCTCTTGGGATAGGTTTGAATTTACATTCATTGCTCAGGGCCTTGACAAACTATCATCTTCTCCAGCTAATTGCTGTGGTCATTCTAAGGCAACTCTGGGAATTTTCTTAACTATTTTACATTTCCGAGCCTAGAAGCTCACCATCAGCAATTTCAGTACCTATAAGTGGTCCATTTGAAATGTAACGCACAAAATTTTTCGTAACTTTGCTAGAACTCAGTGAGATTGAAAGCGTTTGTTTTTACCTTGTTATGTACCAGAGCGGATGCAGAGAAGCCTTTATCCGTGAGTGCAAGCTACACGACTGAGAAGTGTACGACGTCACAACTATATATAGCTGACTTGTTTACTTAAACAAATACGATATCGTATCATATCATTTAGCCTATCATTTCTCAACACCTCAGACAAAGAATAGCTATATGTCTTATTCTTAGGATTGACTTGTAGTTGATTAGGCTGCTTTCGGTGTCGGACTGGATACTTCTTAGAAGATGATGGTGTTTTCGGCTTCGGTGACAGCGTGGACGGTTCGGGCTCTTGACTCGGCATATCTGTAACAAAGTGTTGGCTGCTTGCTTTTCTGGATGTGCGTTTCTTCCTTAGCTTTCAGAAAACTTCAGATTTTCACGGCGCATCTGAATAGCATGCCTTCTCCAAAGAAACTTATCTTCACTCTCCACATCGCACAGAACTTCTCCCAAACGATTCTTCACTACACCTGGAACCCAAAGTTAATGTCTGGGGCGGTAGTCTCTGACCCAAACATGTTCATTTCGATGGGATGATCTGGATCTTGGATATTGTCAGCACTCGCCGTTCTTCGATAGTTCTGCAGGAACTTTGCCAATTTTTCTGACATCTCTTCTCCTTCCTTCATTTTCTGGAGTGTTCGCTTGTCTACGAAACGCTCGGACCGTTTGACTATGGATGATATGGTGTCGAGCGAATGCGGTTTTCGCAGAAATCTTGAAACTCTTGTTGTTGACTTCCGTTATCAGAGACTAGGATCCGCGAATTTTTAAAATGAGCAAACACCAATTTCAATGTTCTAAGTGTAGCCTTGACTGAAGAGGATGACATCTCGTAGACTTCTGGCCATTTGGAGTATGCGTCGACAACTACGGGGTATGTTCTTCCATTGAATGGTCCTGCAAAGTCAATATGTACTCTGTCCCACGGCTTGTCTTCTCTGGTCCATAAGCTCAATTGCGTTTTTACCGGCATCTTTGCTGCTTCTTGACAGCTGCGGCATTGGCGCACATTCTCTTTAATTTCCCTGTTGATGTTCAACCAAAACACGTATCCTCTGGCAAGCCAATTCGATGACCAAAATGTAAGCATCGTTTTGCGGTCGATAGTTCCTCATTCAATGTTTTCCGGTTCCTGAGCTGGTCGTCTGGTTTCGTAGGCCATTTGCCATTCTTCTGTATTCGCATAAGCTTCGGTATGATGTTATCCTTCTCGGATTCTTCTTCAACTATCTCCCTAGTGACAGGTAGGGACTCAACAGCAGCGGCTTGTATGGCAAGCATGTCCTGTTTTATTTTGGCCATGACGATATCTTCAGTTTAACTCGGTCTTGCAGAATTCAGACGTGACAAGGCGTCAGCTAGTACAAATGCTAGTTTTTCTGTACTGCAGATCAAAGTCGTATCTGAGTAGTATCAGCTTCCATCACTGAAGTCGATTTGCTGTGTAGGTAGATACCATATTCTTAGATCCAAATATGTGCAGCAATGGTTTGTGATCCATTAACAGCGTGAAGCGACGTCCGTAAAGGTACCGATAATTTACATATTGCAAATATGATTGCAAGGTCTTCTTTTTCGATTTGTCCGTAATTTTACTCTGCAGCAGTGAGGCTGCGCTTTGCGTGCAATATGGCCTTCTCCTTTTCGTCAGCATCTTGTGTGGGATCACTGTTCTTATGCCATAAACTGAAGCATCGGCAGTTACGATTATGGGTAGACTGGGATAGAAGTTTGTCAGAAGTAAGTCCGAGGCTAGTTTAGCGCGATTGAACTCGTCTTCACACTCTGGCCCATTTGAAAGGTGTATTGTTTTTTAGCAGTGCATCCAAGGGTGCTCGTAGTCTTCGCATATCGGCTATAAATGATTCGTAGTAACTGATCATTCTTAGAAACGTGCGAACTTCTGCAACGTTCGTTGGTGTAGGTTTGACGAATGATCTCGACCTTTTCCGGTATCTTGTCGATAATATATCCGAGATATCGGATCTGTGCTAAGAAAGTTGCGCTTTTAGAGACGAACGTGGGATCCATATCCCTGGGTTTTTTGGAAGACTACGTCCAGTTACGGCAAGTCGTAGGTGTGTCCAACGTCCACTCTGGCTCCAAATAGGCTGCGTGCTGGCGCCACGCACCTTCATTAGAAAGAAAATTTTGTCGCACCCCACCCCTAGCCGAAATCCTGGATACGCCACTGCTATAGAGTCCTTTGTGTTATTGATTGTCAGCATTTATCTTGATCGATCTTCGACTTCAGTCTGTAAGTAAGCTTAAGCTAGATCAATTTGTGTGAACAATTGTTTTCCGTTCAGCTTGGTGAATACGTTTTCGGCTGTGGGTAACGGGTGCTGATGCAACTGTAACGCATCTTTCAATCCTGTGGAGAAGTCTGCGCAAAGACGAGTTTTTCCGCTCTTCTTCACTGCAACAATGATACTGCCCACTCAGAGTAATCCACTGGCAATATTACTTCTTGTGAAACTAGACGTTCTATCTATGCGTCTAAATCAGTAATAGAAGCATATGGTACCGATCGTTTCTTTTTGAAGACGGGTACAGCATCTTCCTTTAACAGCGATTTCGCCTTAGCTTTAGTACATCGTCCCAAGCTGGAGTCGAAGACATCAAGAAAGCGGTCCCTTGGCTTTGCAATAATCTGTGCTCTGGATTTTTCTTGCGTCACTTGTTGGTAGTGTTATTCATCCTTCAGCTCTTGGTAAGCAGGGAGTTGGATGCACTACTCTAATCCAAGTACATTGGTGTTTTCCGTAACGTAGCAGTATCTATTTCCATGGATAAGTCTGTCGGTCTGTGAAGAATATTTCATCAATTTTTATAAGTGAACCGTCTGCCGTTTTCACCGGCACTGAATAAGATTCGATTCTCGGAAGACCAATCATTTTCCGTTTCTGACGAGATAACAGTGTGATATCGGCTCCTGTGTCGAGTTGGAAACGCAGTGAATGACCGTTTGTTTCAACATCGAGGTACGTCCGAGCAGTCTATGCGGTGAAGCTATGAATCTTCTTGCAGTGCATCCCTTTGCTATGGAGCCGTTTCCTCTGCGCACTATACTTGGGACCGAATCGACTAATTATTCGATCATTCGAATAAATCATTCGAATGCGAATGATTCGAAAAGTCGAATATTCGAAAATCTGAGATTTCGAATAAAATTCAAAAGTCGAATATTCGAAATTTTTTGTTTTCGAATATATTCGATAATCGAATACTCGAAAATCTTCATTTTCGAATATTATTCGAAAGTCGAATATTCGAAAATCTTGAATTTCGAATATTATTCGATAGTCGAATATTCGTAACTTTCAATTTTCGAATAATATTCGATAGTCGAATATTCGAGAACTTCGATTTTCGAATATTATTCGATATTCGAATATTCGAAATTTTCAATTTTCGAATATATTTGATATTCGAATATTCGAAAAAAATTTCGAATTTCCCCAAGTATACTGCGCACGATGTCCTCCTTCGAGTTTGAGCAAAAGTATGGACACATGCTTTTAAGGTGCGGTTCTCCGCAGTTAAAGCATTTGATGTTTTTTCTGTAAACCATATGAACGTCAGCGACACCTTCATGTTTG